TCACCGCAACAGTCGATCTCAGGCTCACGCCGTGGACCTGGGATCCAGCGCACCTGGACCCGATGATCCACGCAGACTATGGGGTGCTCTTGCCGCTACAAACGGCGCCCTTTGCATTGTCGCTCGAGTCGCCGGCGGCGCCAGTGCTTGCAGCTTCCATCGATGCGGCCCGCAGGGAGTGGAAGGCGCTAGGGCGCCTACCGACGCCGACGAGCAATCCGAACACGCACGCGACAATCCCTTCCACGTGGGAAGTCCAGCTTTGGACAGCAGTGTCGTGGATACCCGCAAATACCGAGCCACCCGGGCAGCCCCGACATGCCAATAAGAAGCAGAAGCAAAAGACACTCGCGTAGTCGGGGAAAGTACCAGCCTAATTTCCTAATTTCAAGTACCCAGGTGGCTAGTTTCCTTTTTATCCTAAGTGGGGTTTCGTGAGACGGATCAACCACAAACAAAAGGGGTGCCAGTGCCAGTGCTGAGAATCGACTCGTTCGAGCTCCAGAGCTCAAACAAGCTCACAACCGATGCCCTCCATGGAATTCATGACGTTGCTACACCACCTATGGCTGTCGAGCCGGGGTATGGTAGTTCTATGTTGAACTTCATCACGCCCATGTTGCAGTTATGGACATCGAGTGGTCCATATGTATGGGCGCCGGATTCCTCGGTAACTAAGAATACAGGGCAGTAATTACCAGTAATTCCTTTGAAATGGGAATTTCATTGGTAATTACTCAAGGTTGGGCAGGCCGACCTTGGCGCTGGCCGCGGCATCAGCTTCGTCGCCCCCAAACCACTCATTTGAGCATACGCGAGTCATGCAGTGACCTCTGATGGATCAAAACTGGTCGATAGAGCCAAAACTTGCGACTATTCTGTGAAATCGAGTGGTGTCCAGCTTATATGCAACGAAAATCAATGGACATGAGTAGTCCCATGGTGTCGTAATCCTCGGTAACTGATTTGGAGCAGCGGTAATTACTAGTAATTACCTATGCATTACCGTCCTGAGTATATTCTCGGTAATTTTAGCCGGCGGTCATATCCATATGAGCCACTGTGGCATTCGAGGCGCCTAGAGCACCGGACAAGCCGCTCCATCGGTCTCCGAGCACATCCGTGAAGCCCTGCGGCCCACACACTGCCCGGCGGCGGCTGCTGACGACCACAGGTTACTTTAACATAGGGCTGCATGTTCAACTTGAACTTCAACATGGAGCTGGGCTGCGCCAGCGGGTTTTGCTAAGATCGAGCATTTTCACGGCCGATGGTGACGCTTGCTGCGCAGGCCTGCGCGCGCGCCACGCGCCCCACCGTTCCAGGCGCCCCCGGGCGCGCCCGAAAGCCCTCGACGCGGCGCACGTCTCCACTGAGTTATTCGTGCGGAGGCCGCCGTCGCGCGACGAACGAGCGGACGTTGGAAATGGCACCGAAACGCTCTCGCGAACGAAACCCGGCCGTCCGCGCGCGCAGCGCTGCCACCGGGCGCGTGTGCTGGACCGAGGCCGCGCACACATACCG